CACTCACACGCTGCCATCTCATGCTTGGTGGGTTCCAGCCTGCCCTTCTGCTCCACATCCATCTTCCCCTCCCAGGTGCCTGCTGGGAAGACTGCAAGCTCCAAACTCCAGCATCAGATACAAAGATCACAACCTTTCAGAGACTAGTAAACCAAATTCCCACAAATGTCTAGGATCAAATCCTCTAACAAGTGCGTTTTAGTGGAACTGAGGAGCCTAGAGAAAAGATTATGTATCTTCCATTGTGATTTCAAGCAAGTTAAGTTCTGGAACTGCCAATGGATTTACCATGTGTCAATCCTGTGAAGTTCTAGAGAGAAAAGGTAACACAGTACAGTAGAAGTTGAGAGCAGTAGGGTTGAGGAAGGAGGACACACGTGGAGTGGTGGTTGAAGGAAGGTTCAAGGGAGATTTGCTTTGAGCCCAGTTTTGGGTTACTCCAAAGCTGACTTTCATCCAATAATCCAAGAGCATGTAGTTCATTTTGAGGGAATTCTAGGAAACATCAGCAGAGAAGTAAGAAGTGTCCAATAAATGGTTGGTTAAGGGCTGCTCCTGGTGGTGGTGAGGGTCGGGATTGGGAGGTATACATTAAATTTCCACCACTTCTGGCCTGTTGTGCTGAGAGGCAAGGCTGACACTGGGGATCTGAGAAAACCATCAGGCAGAGAAATTCAAGTTCTGGATGCTATGACTCAGGATTATTAATGTGGTTAAGGAAGTCTATAAAGACAAAGCATTGACAGCATCTGCTATCCTTGGGTGTGTGTGTGTGTGTGTGTGTGTGATATGTGCATTTGCGCAGAAAGAAGAGAAAGGGAAAGGAGACAGATGCATGTATGAACTAATGTTAGTGAGAATGAGCCTGCAGAGAGAGAAATACTGAGAATAAGGATTCAGTTGCTTCTGTCAGAAAAGCTTAATAAGTGATTTGATAGCTCAGAAGTCCCACATTTCACTTCAAGTGGAGTGACAAAATTCATGAAACAGAATATTTAGTCACAGAGATACACACTGCAGAGTCAGGCATGGAATTCATATTTCCAACTTGTAGTCAAAATAGATTAGTATTGCAACAAGAATGTATTAGGAGTTTACATGTGACAGTCACTACAAGATTAGACACAGTTCCCTGCTCTACATAAGCTTAGGGTGTAGTGTGCTTTCTGAACATTATCCCTTAAACTTCTACTTAACAGGCACAGGCATCCATCCATGTACTCAAGCAAAGAAATTAATGGCAAAGCCATAACTTTACTTCAACTTACACTTTGTTTTTTTTTTTTTTTCTTTTTTTTTTTTTCTTTTTTTGACAGGCAGAGTGGACAGTGAGAGAGAGAGACAGAGAGAAAGGTCTTCCTTTGCCGTTGGTTCACCCTCCAATGGCCGCCGCGGCCGGCGCGCTGCGGCCGGCGCACCGCGCTGATCCGATGGCAGGAGCCAGGAGCCAGGTGCTTTTCCTGGTCTCCCATGGGGTGCAGGGCCCAAGCACCTGGGCCATCCTCCACTGCACTCCCTGGCCACAGCAGAGGGCTGGCCTAGAAGAGGGGCAACCGGGACAGAATCCGGCGCCCCGACCGGGACTAGAACCCGGTGTGCCGGCGCTGCTAGGCGGAGGATTAGCCTAGTGAGCCGCGGCGCCGGCCTACACTTTGCTTTTTAGATATGTTTTTAAAATGGTTTACTGAATTTCACTGCCACAACGCATGTCTGAGTTGCAAGAGTAGGATTACATGTAGACAAGGCCTCATTATTATTTTCACAGAAGGTAATTCTAACGTCATTAGTCTTACATTAAAAGAGAACTATTCCTTCACAAAAATATGAATAGGTCTAGGGTTCAATTTCCCAGACTAAGGGGATTTCTTCCATAAAACTGTAGGAAGTAACATTTTTAAAAAAAGGGAGTATTGAAAAGAATGGGAGAGAAAGAAAAAGGGAAGTTAAACAGTTTATTAGCCTTTTCCTCAAAAATACAAATCCTACCTCAATAGTCTCAGTAATAGTAAGCCCCGATGGACAAAATTTCTAAGCAAAATCTGACTGCAAAGACACCCTTATCTGAGCACTACTGGGAATTCCACAGCTCCTGAGATTAGGAAATCAGAAGAAAGATTATTTGTCCTCCCTAAATGCTAAATTCCAAACACAGGAGAAATGCTGCTGTTGATTTACAACTCAAGAGTTGAAAATTTAAGCTGTTTCCAATCAGCCCAGAAGAAATAAGCCTGAGTGCAAACCTGACTCTTTCCTCTGAGCCTTCTTTTCCAGCTGTAGAGGAAAAAACAACACTACACCCAGTTACCACGATGGTCAAAACCTCAAATATCTGCTGCAGTCTAACACAGTTAACAGGACAAACTTACTCTCCACTCCCTGCTCTAGTTTCCTATTTGCTTTTGTAATTTATTTTTTTAAATTTACTCATTTAAAAGGCAGTGACAGGGAGTGATAGAAAGGTCTTCCATTTGCTGGTTCACTCCTCAGGTGGCTACAGTGGCTTGGGCTGGGCCAGACTGAAGCCAGGAGGCCAAAAACTGCATCTGGGTCTCCCACATGGGTGGCAGGCCTTCCCAGGTGCATTAGCAGAGAGCTAAATCAGAAGTGGAACAGCTGGGACTCGAACCCACACTCTGATATGGAATGCCAGTGATGCATGTGACGGCTTAACCTGCCACACCACAATACCACCCCCAACATGTGGCATTTGGCACATCAGTTAAGACACTGCTTGAGACAGTGACATCCAATATCAGAGTGCCTGGGGTTCAAGTCCTGAATCCCCTTCTGATTCCAGGATCCTGCTAATGCACACTCTGAGAGACAGCAGCTGATGGCTCCACTTGGGTCCCTGCTGCACACTGGAAACCCTAAACTGAGTTCCCAGATTCTGACTTCATCTTGGCCCAGCCCCAGCTGTTGTAGGTATTTGGACTGTGAAGCTGCATTCGGAGATCTCTGATTTCTCTCTCTCTGCTTTTCAAATGAATAAACATTTAAAAAAAAAATGTATTAAGCGTAGCCCTCTTCTATTTTCCCGTTTTTCATTATCTATCTTCCTTAAATAGTCCCTTCACCTTACTCATATATTTTATTAAACTTCTTATTAACTAATCAAACAACTTGTTTGTTTGACCTCTATTGGCACTGATTGGGCATGTCTTTCCACTACAAATAAAAAGAAGTCAAGGTGATTATTAAACAACTATGATTTGGAAATGCTTTCTTTCCTGAGGCCACTCAGCTGGGAACTACAAATAGCTCACATTAATGAGTAACAAAATACTCTTTCTGGGGCTCAATTTCTACCTTTAGAATTTAAACACCAAATCTATCAATTCCTTCTCTCTCCTCATTTAATCACAGGCTCTTGACATAGCTACAGAATGGTGCAGGATCATCCTGCGAGGCTGCACACTGCCGGGGTGGGGAGGTGACAGCGTTCTTGGAGAAGAAGCAACAGAGACAAGTTGCGGTAACATGTCTATTTACTAGTGTTCAAGCATAAGCTTTTAAAGGGCAGGCAGAGGGGGTGCGTAGCTAATTCAGGGCAATACTAATTCTATAGGATAAAGCCCATATTGGCACCACTATGCTTCTTCAATCAGCTTAAAGGTCAGGTAGCCTAAGGTAGCCTTCCACATGGGCCTGGGCCATACCCAGGAGCAGTTTACCTGACTGGCAATTACAAAGCTCTTCAACAGAAAAGGGAGTGGGGAGCAGGGAGTGGGGGAGGTGCCTGGGGCTCCTGGCGCCTGCCAGCAGTCAGGTTAACCTCCTGCATGGGCTAGGCAGGCAGACTCCCAGCCAGGCACAGAATCACCCACAGAATGGAGCACTAGTGAGATTTTACATGATAAGAAAATAAAAGGACTATCACCAGAAAAGAAATGTTGGGTCTTTTAATTTGTGGTGATGGACAGCAATTAAAATGTACAAACTGAAATGAAAATATTAATAAATTGAACTTCTTCATTTTAAGGACTTCTAACCATTTCAAAAGATTTGATAACACAACTTACTAATTTGCAACAGATTTGTTACACACACAACTGATTAAGAACTATCAACCATGGGGTGAGCACTGTAGTGCAGTGGGTTAGGGGTTAGGCGGCCCCTTGCAAAGCCAGATCTCATATTGGAGTGCTGATTCAAGGCCTGGCTGCTCTTTCTCTGATCCAGCTCCCTGCTAATGTGGCTGGAAAAACAGTGGATGACGGACCGAGTACTTGGGCCCCTTTCATCCATATGGGAGACAAAGATAGAGCTCAAGGCTCCTGGCTTCAGCCTTGCCCAACCCTGGCCATTGTGGCCATTTGGGGAGTGAACCAGTATATGGAAATTCTCTCTGTCTTCCTGTCACTCTGCTTTTCAAATAAATAAAATAAATATTTTTAAGAAAACAACTATTACACTGCAAAAGGATTCCTAAAATTCAATTTGTAAAGTCTCATTTGAATACTGTATTAAAAAAAGACTTAGCACTTTTCAGAGAAGGAAACACAAGTACAAGCATATAGGGGTGGACATTTGGCAGGGACTTTAACCTCTGATGCCACATCGGACATTCAGCTTTGCTTCTGACTACAACTTTCTGCACACTCTGGGAGACAGCAGATGATGGTGCAAAATTTTGTGTCCCTGCAACCCAAATCAATATGGGTAACCCAGATTAAGATCCATGTTCCTGGCTTTCACCTGATTGTTCCAGGCATTTGGAAAACTGAACTACCATCTCTTTCTCTGCCTTTCAAATAAAATGAAATGAAATAATGAAATATAGTGTGATTATTTTTTAATATCTAGAAAAGGATTAATTTCATTTGTAATCAGAAAAATGCAAATTTAAATCATGGGGTATATGCCACAAGATTTACAAAAATTCAATATTCTGAAATTAAGAACTGGGGAGTCTCAAGCTTTCTGTGTCAGCTTTTCATTACTACAATGAATTGCCTGAGACAAGCTACTTAAAAAGGAAAAATGCTTATTTAACTCACAGTTTTGGAGGCTGAAGGTCCAAATGGCACAATGCAGGTCCTATCTCTGGTGAGCAGCAGATGGCAAATGGTAGCGTGAATAGAAAGCAAGAATCACATGGTGAGGGTTTTATAACTGCTCTCTTCCAGGAAGTCCCTCTAAGGTCATGCCTCAAGGACCTAAGGTCATCTCAAAGCCCCACCTCCCAAAAGCTCCAGCACCTCCTAAGAGCACCACCCTGGGGAAGAGATCTTTACTACCTGGGCCTTTGCGGATTTTCACATTCAAAGCATGGCAGAAGAAGATCATCAAGTAGATCAAGACTTCTAAGGGAATATGAATAGGCAACACAGTTGTAGAAAGCAATCTGGCATCCTCTAGTAAATGTAACAACATGAATAACGTTTGATCTAACAATTCAAATTTTAGAGATACACCCAACATAAATGTGTGCTCAAGTATAGTAGGAAATCTATACAAGAATGTTCATAGCATTATTTTGCAAGATACTAAAAAACTAGAAGCAATAAAATATCTATTAACAATCAAATGAAAGAATATTGACACACTCATACAGAATACTGTTAACAGAAAACCTGATGAATCTCACAAACCTAAGAGTTAGAAGTCAGTCATAAATGAATACACACAATCAATCATGTTTATATTGCTGAATTTAAATTATAGGCTAAAGTTTTGGAGTAAATGTTAAACAAAAGTAAAAAAAAAATTACCAAAAGAATCAGGATTGTGATGAAAAATGATTGATATAGTTAACAATGATAGTTTACAAGTAAATGAATGGAAAAAAATATATACCAAACAAGGGAAAGCATTAAGAACCTTAAAGTAGACATATTAATTGCAGATAAAGTAGATTTCAAGGCCAAGAATGCATAGAGAGAGATACTGATGACATCATGAAATTCACAAGTTCTAATAATACATTTTAAAATATATGGAGCAGGGACTGGTGCTGTGGCGGAGAGCAGGTCAAGCTGCCACCTGCAGTGCTCCCATCCCATACTGGAGGTGGGTTTGAGTCCTGGCTACTCTACTTCCGATCCAGCTCTCTGTTATGTCCAAGAAAGCAGTAGAAGATGGCCCAAATCCTTGGGCCCCTGCACACATGCGGGAGACCTGGAAGAAGCTCCTGGCTTCAGATGGGCACAGCTCCAGCCTTTGTGGCCATCTGGGGAGTGAACCAGTGGACGGAAGACCTCTCTCCCTGCCACTGCCTCTCTGTAACTCTGCTTTTCAAATAAATAAATAAATCTTTAAAAGAAATACATATGGAGTAAAAATGGACAAAATTAAAGTAGACAATACAATAGTAGTAGCTAGAAATTTCAAATCCCTCTCTCAGTAACTGAGTAAGTTGACAAATATTGGGAAAGACATATTTAAGCAATACTTTCAATGACCTAATTACTGTTTGTAGAACATCAAACCCAGTAAGTTCAAGTACACATAGTATATTCAACAAAACAAGCTTCGCCATAAAATAAATCAATAAATGTAAAAATATTCAAATTATAGGATATATTCTCTCGTCACAAGGAAATTAGAAACTAATAATAATAAAATATCTATAAAACTCCAAATATTTGAAAATCAAACACATTCTAATAATCTATGGGTCAGAGAAAAAAATGACATTGGAAATTAGAAAATCTTTCAAACAATTGATAATGGAAGTATAATATAAAATAAATTCCAGATGAAGCTAAAAAGTGAAGCTTATAATTTGAATGGCTTTAATCAAGAAAGAGGACCTAAAGCCAGTAGTCTAGAACTTTTCCTAAGACATTAGAAAAAGAAAAGAAAAATAATACTGGTTAGTAGAGAATAAAATCGTATATTACTGAAACAGAAAATAAATGATAGAAAAAAATCAAGACAAAATTGGTTCTTTGAAAAGACCATCAACAAACTTCAAGCTAGACTGCACAAAAATAAGATGGAACACAAATTAATAAATACCCAAAATGAAAGACAGCTTATCAGTATAGATCTAATTGACATTAAAATAGTTCTGTTGTGAACACCTCTATGCCAACAATTTCATAGCTTTGATAAATAAATTACTTAAAAATAATGTATTGAGTAATTATTTCAGAGCAAAGGAGATGAAGTGGCAAAACTAATGATCTAATAACTAATGAATAACTAAATGAACCAGTATTGCAGCCTAAAGAGGGGGGTGAAATTGTTCTTAAGGGTCTTACTGGAACCCTAGTAAGATTTGAATTTGGACAGAATATGATTGTTTTTCATAATGTTAAATATTTTGAATTTGATATTTTATGATGGAAGGAAGCAGAACTTTGGTGGCAGCCACAGTGTGCTACTATACAACTAAAATTAAATAGTAGAATTCTGTGGAATCAGAAGTTAATTTTAGCAACTTCTGTTAAATTCAGAAGCTGAACATTCAAGTAAAAAGCTAGAATTTTTGCCCTGTGAAATAATGCAGTGAAAAGGAAAGAAAATAAAAGCATGATCAAGTACAATAGAGTTCATACACTTTCAAGGTACCTGCCGCTTTGTGCTTGAGGATTCACAGAACACTTGTTGATGGGATCAAGCTGTCCATTCTTGGGCTTGGAATCAAAAAATTCATATAACTTTTAAAACTAAGTAGGCAGGCATTTTATGGAAGATCAATACTCAAAGAAGTAGGAAAACCAGATTAAAAGCAACAACATAAAAAGGGACCAAGGTGGCTGAATTGAGAGAAGTAGCACTCATCACCACAGAAAAATCCCCTAACAAGGGAAGGATCACCTATCTAGGAGACTGAGGGAAAATTTCAGTAAAGAAGTGACAAGAGGGGCAAACAACACAAAGACTGGAAACCAACAGAGAAGAAAAAAGCCACTGCAGGGTTTATGCCAGGTCCCTGGCCAGGGGGGCACTTTCTTCTTGGAAAAAGCTAAGCAGAAGGTGAGAATGGCTGCCCTAATTGCAGAGGAATTCCACAGTCCTCACTGACTTGAAATCTAGCCTAAATAGTTGACTGGGGTTCAAACCACTACTGGGCTAAAAAAAAAAAAAAGAAAAAGAAAAAAAAGAAAAAAAAGAACTCACGTTGCCTCCCTCTGAGCCCAAAGCACCAGATTCCGAAATTGCTATGATAGAGCTGCTGTTAAGGAACAGCAAGTAGCCCCGATGCTACCAGAGGCTCTCATAGGCAGAGACAGGGGACACTCCAAAGGAGAGTATCCTGAAGCTGCGGGAATTCTGGGCACAAGCTCTGGGCTACACTTAGTGGATCTGCATCACCCAGCGAAGTCCCCCTTTTCTTCCTGGAGTATGAGTTTCAGCAACAGCAGCAGATCATAAAGAAATCTGACAGGGAGTGCCAAGGTTGCAGCACAGCAGTCTGTTACTAGACTTTTCAACCTAGCTTCCTGCTAGCATTAGCAGAGAAGGCAGGAGGGGGAAGTACTTGAGCCCCATGTGGTAGACCTGGGTGGAATTCTGGGCTCCTGGCTTTTGACCGGACCCAGACATGGCTATTATGGCCATTTGAAGAGTAATCCACTGGATGGGGGTCTACTGATGCTCCTTTCTCTGTCATTTTGCTTTTAAAATAAATAATAAATCTTTTAAGAAGAAATTTCTGAAAAAAAAAAAGTTAAAAAGATCAGACCTGAGGAAGGGCCCTTTCTCTCCCAGAAATGGTGTAGGTGCTCAGGACACAAACACCATCCTCACCATTGTATCCCTTTTTGGAAGTGCCATGCTTATCCAGGACTGTCACTGGTGCTACAATCCCTGGAGTAGCTTGCTTTCACATGCATTACCTGAAGACTCCTACCTGAATTCCTCTACTTCAGGCTGGTAGCTGCTAATCCACAATTCCCACCACAACTGGCTCTCACCAGTGGCACTTGGATAATAGCCCCACTGCTTCCTGAAACTGCAGGGCTGTGATAAGTAATATTAGATTCCTCAGTCACCAGAATCTACCCTGTGGGACCTAGGGAAGAACATACCTGCACTCCATCATTCCAGACCCATATCTGCAAGTACATATTTTAGTCACCCTATAGGACTGGGGCAAGTTCCCCTTCACATCTCTCAGTGCTGATACTACTGGGGCTTCTGGTGCCAAAGTCCCAGTACCAGTCACAATCTCCCAGCAGGACCTAAGAAAGGTCCCATCCACATCATAGCCCCTGAGGCCCCATCTTTGTGCCACAAACCCCAGCATCATTCAGACTTCTCTGGCAGGACAAGGGGACAGTTCACTCTGTGTCCCTCAGCACCAAGAATGAGGCTCCAGCCATCACAAGCCCACATGTGATTGACATCCAATTCTCTGGTTACTGAAAATACACACCATAGGAAGCCCACATCCACTTCAAAGTCATGCTTCCATCTCCACAGACTGCTGCAAGACTAGACAACTGCAGCACTTGCACACACTTGTACACACTGCTGACACTGACTGAAGTTAAAGAAATCACTCAGAGGCAACACTTCTGAGGTTCACCTAGAACCAAAGTCAAAGTAACACCCTAAGAGATAATCTGCATTCCATCTAAACAAAACGTCTTTTCCAATGAAAACTATTCCATAAAGAAGGAACTATTATACCACATGTGCAGACATCAACATAGGGACCCAGGAAACAGGAAGAAGCAAGAAAACACGGCATCTTCAAAAGAACACAATAGTTTTCAAGAAACAGATCCAATTGGAAGGAAATCTGTGAAATATCTGAAAAATAATACAAAATAATGATCCTAAGGAAACTCAAAGAGATGCGATACAGGCATTTTAAAGAAACGAAGAAAATAATAGATGAATGAGAAACTCAATAACAAGATACAAGTAATTAAAAAGAACCAAACAGAAATTTTGGGGCTGAAAATTCCAATTAATGTAATAAAGAAGTACAATTCAGAGCTTCAACAACAGAATGGGCCAAGAGGAGGAAAGATATTCTGATCTGGAGGATAATACTTGAAATAACCAAGGCAGACAAAAATAAAAAGAATTAAAAATGGTCAAGATATATATAAAAGAAAACCCATCAGACTAATAGAAGACTTCCCAGTAGGAACTGTACATGCCAGCAGAAATGGATAATATATTAAAGGTCTTAAAAGAAAGACTTCCAACCAAGAATATATTACCT